CAAAATTGCATCCCGTCCTGGGACTGGGAGCAGGGGTGGTGCTTGTTCCTCTGCCCCAGGAGCAAGGTCTGAAAGCCCCAAGGTCAGCGGGGTGCAGACGCAGGGGAAAATGTGTAATACAATTCCGCTGGCTCGGAAAGCCTGGCTTGGCTGAGCCGCCAGGTCCCTTTGGAGCTGGTTTTCACCCGGGCTGGTTTTCAGCAGGCGCCTGGAGCTGGTGGCCCTGGCTGTGTCCCCGTGCTGGGAGATGCCGAGGCCATGCCGCCTCACCGGGTGTGATCATCTGCACCGGATCCGGCACGGCAATCCCTGGGCTGGCTGCTGCTTTAAAAGCTAATTAAAACCAGCGTTAGACGAGTGTTTCTTTTCGTTTCGATTTAAAGCCCAAAACAGATACAGCTTTTTGGCTCTCACCCAGGAGCTGGTTTTATACGAGCGGAAAGTCGTTACTGTGGGATCTGAATTCGGTGTTTTCAGGTCGGTATTTGGGGCTAAAGGAATAATTGGCAGGCTTAGACCTCTGGGTGCAGTCACTTGAAAAGCCAGGTCCTTGACAGAGCATGTAAAGTGGGAGCTGAATGGTGGTGAGATTGCCAGGCCACTTTATTAGAGGGGTTTGTGAGTGAGTCAGTCAAAGAAGCTGGAAATCGATGCGAGGATTGCACAGGAAGGTGATGGAGAGCTCAGAGAGGGGCTGGGGGGCACGGAGGAGGAGGAACGCTGCTGCAAAGCAGCACAGCCTGGGAGTCCTTTGCTCAGGGTCCCTGATGCGTCACGGCATGCCCCATCCCAGGGGTGTTTCTCTCTGAGATTGTGGCTCAGGGAGGAGCTGAATCCAACCCCTGCCTCGCAGGTCTCTGCTATAACCCCAGGAGCATCCTTCCCCGCACCAGGCTGGATCCAAGTAAAGCATTAAGATGTGAAAATTGGAAGATGTGTTATATTTAATTAGTTTGGGGATTTTTTTTTGAGAGATAAAATCAATGTAGCTTTTGCTTCACAACAGCAAATTACAGTAATAACAAAAAAATATTGATATGTCCTTGGGAAATGCAATGGCTTTGGTGTTCACATTCCTGGACCACCGGGCTGTGCTGGGGAGGCAGTCAGTCCAGCACTGCAAACTGGTGGGCTGAAAGGATGGGGAAACAGTAGAGGTTGGTAATATGGGCAATAACTGCCTAGAAGCTGTTTCCTGCACAAAAAGATCTGGATGGGATTGCGTGTGTGACCAGACAGCTTCTCCACACAGCTGGTGAGACAGCTGGAGCAGCAGGACCTCTGTGTGGTGGCCTGAGCTGCTGGGGGGAGGTCCATGTCCTCCTTGGGCTGCTCTGGTAGAGCCTGGTCCATGATGTAAGGTTGGTGTGATCACACTGGGAATTAACCTGCTGCCTCATGTGTGGGTGATGTGGATGCAGGGAAAATGGGTGGGAAGCGGAAACATGAGGCTGATGAGGTGAGCAGGGACCGAGAGGGAAGTTTTTTCTATGGTCCCTCTCATGTGGAAGTACGAAGGCAAAAATGTCTTGGGGCTTTGCAATTTCATGTTCTTCTTCCCCATCTTTAAAGCAGATGGTAGCAAAGGGCGTTGAGCCCTGGAGTGCATCTGTGAGCATCACTGAAAGCTGCCTGAGGGTCCTGAGCAAGCAGAGGTGATAAAGTGAATGTCTTGGTTTGGCCTTCCCCATTGCTGGCAGATCGATAGGCAATGAACTGGATCCCGCTGCCGGGTGGGAAGGAGAGGCCGGAGCCTGGCCAGGGCTGTGGCGGGAGCAGGGCAGCCTGGCCTCAGAGACAATTTGTCAGCTTCTGCGGACAGGGAGAAACAGTAAACACTCCTATTGAGGGAAAATTGCTTGTTTTCTGGTACCCAACTTTCTCTTCACCGCCAGGTCCTCGGTTCATCAGTGCCCAATTTACCCTTTATTTGGTTTTCATAAATAATTCAGAGGAGTTTGAGTAGAATAATTGAGTCTTTTCCCAACCCTAATCCCAGACAATTCAAAACAAAAAGACATTTAGATTACAATTTGAGCATATTAGCTGTTGGGAGATTTCCAGACAACTGATCTGCTTTCCTTTACAATTTCTGCGCCGTTCTATCATTTCTAAAGTGTTCTGCTTTGATAGTTAATAATTTGAGCATTTCCAGTTCTTCATGAAAAGACAGAGGCATCGCTGTGATAAAGTGCGGGTGCGCGTGCTGCCGTTGGATGGGTGAGCTTATCTGTTTTCCAAGAAGGACTAAATAAATGAAGCACTGAGATTGCAAATCCAGCCTGCGATGTGCCTTATCATCTTCAGGGAAATAGATACAATCGTGCTTATTTGGCTTAAAATTAAAACTAAGCTTCTACGCCGATGTGAGCTGAAAACCCAAAAGGGATGAATTTGGGGAAGACTTAATGCAGGAAAACACAAGCCTGGGATCTGTACCATGCAGAGGGGAGAAATTACACCAAAGGCAGATCCCATTGCTGCATTTTCCAACACGAAGGCTGTGAGATTTGCGTGGTGGTGTGCCGAAGGGTTTTGCATCTGCCAAGGATGTTGCGAAGCGTTGGTGAGGCTGGTCCCACTGGTGCAAAGCAGTGGTGAGCAGCATGAGATGCTGCTGGAGCGCTGGACCACTGAAGCCACGAACCCAGCAAACAGCCAAGAGCACCAAAGAAGTAATCTAAGTAATATCTATAAACAAAGCAAAATGCTGTTAGGATTGGATGGAGCTGTTTATTTCCTCTCAGGGAGGACCAGGGCTCCCCAGCATCGCTGCCAGCTCCTCCCCAGGCTGGCTGCATGACATGGGCTTGTCAGTGCAGGCTTTTCCATCTTTTGGATTTGCATGCTGTGAAAGGGTGATGCCATGCTCCTGCGCCCTGTGGGTGTCCTCAGGAGGCGACTGAGTTGGTGGAGGGCACTTACATGTCAGCAGGGTCCAGTCCAGGGAGTTTTGAAAAACCTCTTGTGTGCCCAGCACCTTTGGAAAACCATTCCTACCTGGCTTTGCCCATGAATCCCAAGGGCAAGTGTCTCCAGTTTGCAAATGGAGCGGTGTATAAGTGCTGCAGCACTGCTGGCCCAGGGCCGGTAGTCAGAGTGGGGAAGTGGCACCAGCCCTGGATGCTGCCCCTGACCACGCGTGGTCCAGGCATGGGGGAGCATCTTGTCCACCAGAACAGAGCAGTCTGAGATGGGGAGGCTTGCTTGGGTTTGTGTTATCCTCATCGGTGATGGGCGCTGAAATGGGGAAACGGAGATGCCGTTTGCCTGAGTGGTGACCCTGGCAGTGCAGGGGGGTGAAGAAAAGGGCATATTTGTACACTGTGTTTTAGAAAATGAGCTACAGTGAGGTCACTTTGCTTGTTTTGATATGCAGACACACAGCACTGGAAGGACTACAAATTCTCACGTATCCCTTCTCATGTTTGATTAACATTTATCTTTTTTTTTTTTTTTTAAATTTCTCATGCTGGCAACACAGTAAAAGGTCGCTGTGGTGTCCGTAACCAGACATTTGTAGCACATGGAGACTTACAGGGACCTGATCTTTCTCAAACTCAGTCTAATTCTGACTGTAATATGTGGGCTGTTAATTACGTTTATTGAAGGATGCGCTGAGACTGTGTCTGGCCAACTCAAATCAGGTTTATATAGATGTTGTCAAGAATGTCTCCAGGCAGATGCATCAGGAGGAAGGTACCAGTACAATTCAGAGAGGTCCCAACATAGGAAAGGTTGTTTGTGTATTATATTTAACTCTAATTGGGTTAGCAGCTGAGACTCTGAGGATTAAACAAACTGACCTAAATACTGGTCTCAGTGGTCTTAGTTAATGTCTAGTTTCCTGCGTCTCAGCCAATTTGGTTTCCCAAATACTCTCCAAAGTGTCTTATCTTTGTATCGAAAGTGTAAAACCATATCATATCATTTACTGTGGTTCTGATGAAGCCATGTGCATTTGGAGAATAGATTCTGCAAACAGATTAAACAGCATGTAAAGAAAACACCTGGTCCATTCTGGTAAGGCAGAAGGTAAGGCAGGCATAGCAGGGATGGAGTGGACAGAGCGGGATGGTGTCCAGGTGTGATTGCTGGCACCCTCGGTTATTATCTCAGCTAATAGCAGATGGTAGAGAGGAGAAATCATCCGTTTTCATTTACAATTTATTTTTATGCTGCAAGAGGCAGGGTTGCTGGAGTCATTGCTGTCAGGCAACCCTCTAGAAGGAAAGCCTTATTTACCGTGAGGGATTTTGGAATGAGTTTTTGATCTTAGTGTGTTGAGGGAAGGTGCTGCAGGGCCAGCAGTGGGATGGAGAACAAGCCCATGCACTGCCCGAGGGGCTGGGGGTTTTTTGTAGAGGAGAGGTCCAGTGTCAGCTTCACGGGAGGTTTATTGAGTCAGGAAAAATCTCCATGGCTGTGAATGTGTAAGCAGGCTCCTAGATCACCTTTTAGTCAGATATTTTCCAGCTCTAGCGTAACCCATCCTGGCTTTTTGCCTTTACTCCCACAGCTTCAGTCATGTCAAGAGCATCATTTTCCCCCAGTAATGATGAATGTGGAGATGCCCAGTTGCTGCACAGCCCTTGGTGTTTGGAGCAGATGTTCCTGTAGCTCTGTTGAAAACATTGATCCCCTAAGAGAAAGCAGCCTGTTGTTTCCTTAGTTTAAACCTGATTTTCGGTCCGTGCCTCGGCCGAGCTTGTACCCTGCGGGATTCACATCTGCCTGGGCTGGTGGATCCTGGGAGTGCTGCAACCATGGGGGTTCTTGGTGCTGCCTGGCCAAGCAGGGGAGTCCCTGCCTGCACACTTTGTTCTCCCCAAATCCTGTCTAAATCTCACCTCGAAGGTGACATAAAGTGACAGCTCAAAGCCATGCTATCAGGGATGCAGGCACCAACATGCTGTCCCCAGGTCAGCATCCCTGGGTGTGCACCCCGCTTCTGCCAGACTCCTTCACTCGTGTTTTGTTTTGTGTTTTTTTCGTTGCAGGTTTTCCGTACGGATCTGATCACAGCCATGAAGATCCCCGACTCCTTCCAGCTGAGCCCTGACGAGTACTACGTCCTGGCTGATCCCTGGAGGCAGGAGTGGGAGAAGGGTGTCCAGGTGCCGGCAAGTGCCGAGGCCATCCCAGAGCCTGTGGTCAGGTAAGCGAGCAGGGTTCCCTGCAGGGGATCCCCTCTGCCTAGCAGGGGACACACTAGCTCATAGAGCACATCAAGGGGACACAGGGGAACCCCGGGCTTGCACAGGGATGCACTGGGACCTCCCACCGCATGCTGCCATGGGTTTTCTGAAAGTCCTTCTCATGTGTGCGCAGGTTTTTTCAGGCAATGACAAGGAGCTGTGCCAGGCGGACCAGCTTCTTGTTTGCTTTTGATCGGGGAATTTTAAAAAGATGCGAGAAAATTAAAGGGAAGGTAAAAAAATACCAGTAAAAAACCACCCAGAAGGTCAGCCTCTGCCTGGCTGGTTGTTGCATCTCTGTCTAGAAACACGTGGCTGTACCGCTGATATGTCATGGAAAGGGTGCAGGAGTTGGCCCTTAAATTAAAAACTTCCGTCTTTACCATGTAGGCTGTTGGTGCGTATTGGAGACGTGATGGGCATGCTGAGATTTGGGGCTTGGGAAAAGGAGCCCAGCGAATAGACAGGCATCTCCCAGACCTTGTAGAGACGACGTCTCTCGGCCTAGATTGGTGTCTCAGTAGCTATTTTAAAATAGGGAACTGAGTTTTAAAATAGACACTTAAACAGCTGCTCGGGCAGAAAAGAAACGAGGGGGAGCAGCTACTCATTCACCATGTGTGGGGAAAAGGCTGATGCTGCCTGGTGGGGAAAACCAGGCGGGTCAGGAAGGAACCCCAAAACCTGCAGGGTTGGACCTGAAGCTTGCAGGATTGGACCTAAAAACTCCCAGGGTCAGACCCCAAAACCTGCTGGGTTTTGCAGCTCCCATGCACTTGCTTCATGGTGTGTGACCCTGGGCGTGCATCCTGCAAAAGCATCATGTGGGCGAGATGCTGGGGCTGCGGGGGGATGTGTTTTGCTTGGGGGTTTGGGCAGGGTGTGAAGCCCAGCAGAGGCTCTGCGTGTCCCACAGCCCGAGCAGCTGCTGCCGCAGCTGTCCACCCTGCTTCTCAAGTAAACTTTTGTGTACGCTTCCCCTCCTCCCCCGGGGAAAACGGAGAAAGAAATGAAACTTTAATGAGTCTGAGCACATCAAAAGGGAAGTTGTAAAGGGGACTGTTGAGTTGATTTAATCCTTGGGGTAGGGGGGGCGGAACTGTGTGTGAAATATCCTTTTTTAATTGTCTTGGCTAGCTAACCGCAGTCTGGACTCGCAAGTGACTGCTCCCCAACTGAGGGCTCACCCCAGTGCTATTTCCAGCTGAAAAGCGAGAGCTGGATGCTGCAGGGCTGGCAGTGCCCATGTAGAGCCAGCCTGAACAGCGGCTGCCCATGGGCGCTGCTTCCCAGCCTTCTGTTGGGTGGGTTTTGCATCCCAGCCCTTGCAGCCAAGGGGCTGCCGGAGTGTGGAGCAGGCTGCAGATGTGCCCCTCTGCTTTTCTCCAAGCCCTTGTTTTAGGAGTTCCCCCATGGCAGCTCTGCCATTGCTGCCTGTTCCCATGCACTGGTGTGGATCATCCCCTCCAGGTCCCCATCCCACCCTGTCGTGCTCTGGCACCAGCCCTTTCCCAATGTATTTCACATTTTTTGGGCCACTCTCATGTCTCCTCTCAGTCCTCTCTCCTCTAGACTGAACAGATCAATTCATTTTAAGGTGTCAAAGGTCTTGTTTTCTGGAGTTGTGAACCTTTTTGTTCCAGGCTTCCCCTGGTTTTCCCCATGTCACCACAAGGACATGCCCATGGGCTTCAGAGGGGACATCAGATGCCCCACCACAGCCTGGTGCTGCTCACTCACCTTTAGCTTGGGTTTCACTTCCACCGTCAGTGGAATAACCCCTAATTTTTAGGGTTATTTTGCTCATTTGATTATACTCAAGCTTGGTGCTATTCCACAATCCTTGATGAATTACCTCTTGCAGTAGTTCCAGCTCTTTCTTCAGTTCCTCAACACTGTTTTGATTTCAAACCTTGCTTTGCAAAGACTTTGTGTTTTTCCCCTTTGTCAGAGTTAAACTCAACAAACTGAGAAGCTTACCCCGTATCTACATGAGGAAACCTGGCCCTGCAGAGGTCTGGCACAGCCCAGACACCAGGGATCATCTCCTCATAGGTAGCGTTGAAGCCTTGCTAAGTCAAGATGGGTCTCATCTGCTGCTCTTCTGTCCACCCACTGCAGGGGTCCCATCCCGTGTCAGATAGTTCTTATTCTGTGCTCTTTTATCCGTCTGTTCATACTGATTGCTTATTTATGTGTTTCACTGGTTTTCCCTGAGTTTTATTTTTAAGGGCAGATAATGTGTGTCGTCTTCTGGTCTTCTGAAGTCCGACCTGAAATCTGTGATCTCTAATGAGTATCGTGAGTAGCTCCATCACTCTCGGCTAATCCCAGGTGGATTTCGGCAGCCTCTCCGGGCTGTGACGAGCCCTGCTCATCCCAGGCTGCCACGGCATTGTGCTGCTTCCCCACAGCATCAGCGTCCTCAGAGGTCTTTCCTCTCTTCTTGCTCCGTCTGTCTGTCCTGTGCTGTGTCTCATCTGCGTAAACCATCTCTGTTTGCTAGCAAGACAGCAAGCATGGCCTTAAAGGCTTTGTCCTTTGCCTGAAGCCCATTCGGGATATTTTGCCTTCGCTACTGCGATATGAGGGGAATGAAGAGCTCATTTTATGGCAGCATTAATAGTTGTACCTGGTTTGTGGCCATGATGCACGTCCCAGGGGGACAAGTGGTGACACTGCCAGATTATTTTTAATCAGGACAGCATCTCTCCACATGCACACCAGAAGGCACAGCAGAGGTGGGTGTGCTCCCCCCAAGCAGTTCTCCCTCCGATAGCATCCCTGCCCTCAGTCTTTTCCCACTTGGGTCTCGATGTGGGAGCTGGGGATGCAGACAAGCAGCGCTCGGGCTGCCACAGATGGATGAAGACTGAGGTCCCTTTCACATCTCCAGTGTGAGACAACTCCCTCTTGCAGCATCCCCTCCTCTGGAGAAATGTCAAGTATTTTAACACGAGAGATGACTATATTTCATTTGCCTAAAGAGAGCAGCCTTATAAGGCCTCACGACTCCATTTATCTCCCTAGGTTAATCTGACTTGATTTGCCCCCATCTCCATCCTGGCAGCAGCAAGCAGGCACCTCTCTGGGCCCACCTGACCTGCTGCCTTCACCACCCTGCACCTGCTTTTGCTCCAAACTTCCCTTTTTCCCTATTCAAACAAAAAATTCACACAGACCTGAAGGATCCTCCCTGTGTCAGATGTGTGCAATCCAGATTCCTTTCTCTGCTGAAAAAAAATTCCAGCAGTGATATTTTTTTTGTAGATTGGGAAATTTGGAGCCCAGCAGGTGCAGCTCTTCCTTTGCTACCCCCTCACCTTGGAGGTGTAAGGCGTGGGTGTGACAGGGTTTTGCGGCACAGGGAGTGGATGCCCATGGCCATCCAGACCTGATGTTGTCACTCCTGACAGCCGTTTCAGTGTGAAATTCCTAGAGGGAGGCAGGGGGCGGAGAAGCCACTACGGCTCTGGGACTTGGAGAGCAGGCAAACGCTGCCTGAAAAATAATCCTCAGCCCATCATCCTGCGACCCCGGGGGTCCAGTTCCTGGGCTGAGCGTTTGGCAGCAAGCAGATGTTGCTGCGGAGGGTGCAAGAGTTGTTTCCCACTCCTGAGATGGGTCTCACCCTGTGAAAGGTGCCATGTATGCAGCCGCTGCTGCTCTTTTCATCTCCTGCCTGGGCGCTTGGAAACCAGCTCTTCCTACCCGCAGCCTGCCTCTAGGTTTTGTGCCTCCAAAGCTGAAAATCAGATTTTTTTTTTCAAACATTTTATTTTTCTGGAGCTCTAAAATGTCAAAAGCTGGGGGTGAGGCAGAAGGAAAGAGCTGTTTTTTAAGGAATGCTTTCCCCAGCAAGCAGCTGTCTCCAAATGCCTCCACCAAGAGCCACCTTAAACTCGAGGGACCTTTCTAGGTTAGCACAAATCGCAGTGCAGTTGTGAGGAAAGCAGTGGGGGGAAGAGGTGCAGCATCTCTTGGCTGGGTATCCCGGGAGGCAGGGATGCTGCCGATGGCCGCCCGTGTGCCAGGGTTATCAGGCAGCGCAGGAGATCAGCTGTTTCCTCTCCACATTCATTTCTGGCTCATCGCTACTGAAAAGGGTTTTATTTTGTGTGGTAACACGCCTGAGAATTGTCCAGAGCTTGAAGGGCTCCAGTGTGGCAAGAAAAGCCGCTGGTGGTTGGATCAGAGCAGAGGAATGAGGAATGGAGGCAAATTTCCCTTCCGACAGGCAGGGAGGGCAGGCGGGCACCCTCTGCCCACACATCTCCAGGTCACCCACCCTGGGACGTGGGTGGTGATTGCAGTGCACCCAGTGATGACACTATGTCCCAGCCATGGTACAGCCCATCTCTGTTAGAGCCCATAGCTGAAGGGTCTCCACTGACTTTCCAGAACCAGAGGAGCCTTAAAGCCCCCGTGTGAGCTCTACAGTTACTTTACAATTGGGTAAACTGAGTTATGGAGATTTCTACCGTGAGTCAGTGATAGAGTCAGGTACAAGGTCCCAGTCCTCATTGTGGGGGCACAGTTGGGTGCTGGATGCAATATTGGGCCATCTCAGCATGGCTTAAGGATTAAGCAAGGTAAGGTAGAGGAAAGAGTAATCACAACAGTTTTGGAGCACTGAGGCCGTACCACTCCTGTTGTAAATGGGAGAGTGAAGCTTTAGATGAGCTTTGTCTTCTCAGAGCCACACCATGATACACACAAGAGGAAAGCAGGCCTTGCTTGTTCGCCGTGGGTGCTCCTAAGAAGCTGTAAAGCCCTTTTTGCAGAGCTGTTTTGCTGGGACCCAATCCGGGCTCATCCTTCCTCACTGTAAGCGATGCTGGTGCCGTGCACAGCAGCGCATGGAGCTCCCTCGGCAGAGCATCGCTCCGTAAAGCAGCAGCACCTACATGGGATATTATGCACTTGTATGGTTTTTAATTCCTCCTTTATTTAATGATTT